GGAAAAAAAAAAAAAAAAAAAAAAAAAAAAAAAAAAAAAAAAAAAAAAAAAAAAAAAAAAAAAAAAAAAGGGAAATAAATAAATAAATATATTTATCAGGGCGTTAATGGGCCATTCTCGTATGCAAAGGGACGACGAAATCGCTCGTCGTTACCTGCGGCCTTGGGTGGCGTCGAGGTCGGGGGCGGCGCCTCGGCATTATCCTCGTCGGCGTGGGAGGGCTTGGCCTGCGAGCGTGGCGTCGACTTCTCATTGTGGTTGGTCTCGGAGCTGACCGACTCCTCGATATCATCCGCGTCACGGTTCCTCGGGCCCGAGGGCGCCGGACCGAGTCTGCTCTGCTTAGCCCGCTCTCTGAGCCGGCGCCTCGTCGCCAAGAATATCTCCAGGTAGACGAGACTCATTATCAGCAGGGGCACGAAGAAGGAACCGAGGGCCGAGTAGACGACGTAGCCTTTGCGCCTGGTCAGCTGGCAGGGCGTCCCGGGCTCGAGCTCCTCCGGCCAGTCGTTCCATCCGGCAAGCGGGGGCGAGCTTATCGCCCCGGACAGGACCCAAACCCCGGCTATGGTGCCAAGGACCCGCTTCAGGGTGCGCTTCTGCGCATAGTTTATGGGATCGGTGATCGCCCAGAAGCGGTCGAGCGCTATGGCGCAGAGGTTGAGGATGCTCGCGGTGCAGCAGAGGACGTCGCAGGTCAGCCAGAGCTTGCACAGGTGAATACCGAATATCCACTTTCCCAGGATTAGGTAGGCGACGTTGAAGGGCATCACGAGGATGGCGACCGCGAGATCCGCCACCGCCAGCGAGACGATGAAGAAGTTCTGGACGATGCGCAACGGCCTGTACGTGAACACGCTCAGGATGACCAGGGCGTTGCCGAGGATCGTCGAGATTATAAGGAAGCTGAGGATGAGGGTAGCGAGGCCGGCTTCCCACAGGGGTAGGCTCGAGCCGGTGTCGACGTCGCCGGCGCTGCAGCCCTCGGCCTCGGCGTCCTTCAGGGCCTTCATCGTCCCGCTCATGCTCATCCGGTGGTGCGCCGACTCGTCTGCGAAGAAAATCGCCAGCTTTAGTTCGCCAGCTTTTAAGCTTAGTTTCCCTCTCCTCTTCTCTCAAGCCGATCCGCGAGTCGGGGGACTGGCATGGAGCCTCTTTCCCACTACTCTGATTCATGAATATTGACGCGAGTGAACGTCGAATCCTGATGGGTCCTGCGTGTGTGATGGAGGAGGGGATGGTGGTGGATTGGAAGGAGGAGAAGGAGGAGGAGAAGTAGGAGGAGGAAGAGGAGGAGGAGGAGGAGGAACTGGAGCTGGAGCTGGAGCTGGAGCTGGAGCTGGAGCTGGAGCTGGAATTATATCGCATTATTATTTATCTCTCTTGTGTTTGCTCGACGAGGGCGGAATTATGTTTGCCAGCTCATTTTTAATAATTTCATAACTCGTTAGCTTGGATTTTTCTCCACAAACGATTATCTGACTTTTCTCTATAATATCAATCAAGCGATTCTTCACGTTACGCTACTCGACGTGATAATTTGATAGCTTTTGCATTTAGACGCGAAGAGCGGGTGCTCAAAGTTGATAAATTGATATTATGCAACGAGCCTACATTGGCTCGTGAGTATTTTCATTTGCAGATGCCCTCGAATCTCATTTCATAGAATATAATCAATATTAAATGCGCCAATTATCATCACCTGTATTTTAATGTAAAATGAAATTATTCTCCTTAATATCCGGCAAATGTGTCAATTGCTCCCTTAATTTTTCAATTCTCAATTACATAGCTTAAAAATCAGCATTTCTCAACAATATGGCCATTAGTGAATTTTAGCGGAAGTTTAGAATTTTGGTGCTAAAGTCATCTGTCAGTCATATGTACGGCCTTATGTACCTATTAATATATAATAACAGCTCATCGTTATTTTCTTCAAATTTGTAATTAGACGAGCAATATTTTTAATGTCATCATGGATTTTGCATTCCCTTAGATATATATTCATTCTTGAAATTATTGCATTATAATATAATAAGTGCATTTCTGAAAATTAGAAACTAATTCCCGTATGGGATACGCAGTAAGGAATATGCTGTAATTGGGGCGCTTGTATGATACAATAAAATATTAATGATTTTATGAATGTCATCGTTTGCAAAACTTATGACCTGCTGCTATATAAAGCGTTTGTAGTGGAAAACAAATGAACGAAGAGCGAGAACGAGAGCGTGAACGAGAGCGAGAACGAGAGATTTAATGATTTTCCACCATCTCTAAACGCAGTTATTATCTGATTTTAAAATCCAATTTTGGCTAAATAAATTACTATGTTTCCCAAACGTAAAACTTCATAATCAGTTTAATGAGGCCAATAATAATTGTTTTGATTACAATGTTTTGAAACTAATATTTCAGAACTCAAATCAATGAACATTGCATTTATTCAAAAGCTTACGTTAGTTTAATAGGCCTTTATCTTTCATCTGACATATCTTTAAAATACTCAATTCGTTGGCATTGTCATTGTGATAATATCCGCACATCTTTAGAATGCAAATTGACATGAGATATCATTTTCGCGCAAAATATCTGTGATTTTCGCAGGTGAATCGATTGAAAGCCAATGCATAGATCTTTAATTAATCGGATCTCATTTAAGAGACGATAATGAGTAAGAGAATACAAGTGTGAGTGTATGCGTGCAATGGTCGACGATAATAAGGGGAAAACTTTATAGAATAGACGCAATTTGACTTTAATATTAAGGTGAAAGATCTAATCGAGCGAATTTGTGAATGAGATTTTTAATTCGTACACATTCAACGAGCGCGTTTATTTCCAACTCTCCTCACAAATAATGAACAAGTAAACGGGATTTACAATCAATATCATTGTGGTAGTAAAATTGAGCAAGCCAACTCTTTCTACTATTTTACATATTAACGCTCCTCGATAAAAACACGGGGCTGCAATTGCTTATCTTTTATTTTCGTTTAACCAACTTCAAGTGCATTGGCTTTTTCTTTTCAAATGTGCAAATTATGGCTACGCGCTCATTTATCTGTAAGATCTAAATTTTTAACTATACGCTGCAAATTGTGCAATTGTTTTTTAAACTTTAACCGTTCAGATAAGTTGTAAGGGGAGGTAGGGGGTGGGATGCTCGTGTATCTCGAGGATGCTCCTCGCGAAACTTTCAAAGTACATAAATTTATCAACAGGGGAGAAAGTCTCGTGGCAAGGCGTTAAGGTCGTTTCAATTTCTAATTTTGTCTATGGATTTTCTAAAATAATGCAAGGTTACACAAGCTTCTCCGATGAGCTTGGAAAGCCGACAGTAGCTCGTGGAGGTCGGGAGTGAGCCAAGGAGGAAGCCGCACCCACAGGGCCATAACGAGCTCGAACAATCAAGAAGGTAAGAACGACCTCCGAACGACCGAAGGTCATGATCTAAGGCCGTCCTCTAATATCCTCGAGTGTGTGGCCCAAGTGGGTGCCGCTCGAGCGACTCCCTCTCGCTAATCGAGTGACTCCATTTCGCTAATCGAGTGACGGCCATGGGAGTACTGCCTCCTCTATTAGCGTCCGAGAAGGATGATCCGGACTCGGGTGGATTATGTCCACGGACGTCTAGGTGTACCCGCGCCTCCAAGAGCGACGTATTACTCAGCCGGAGGCGCTCGGCCATGACTCCAAGACAACGCCGGCCGTTCGTCATGCGCAACCGGACGAATCAGCTAATTGAGACGAAGCTGCTTTTCCGGGATCGGGGGCACGAGGATTCTTCGCCACAAGGTGTACGTCCCCGACATGCGCGCACCTGGCCGTAAATGACTTTTAATAGTGATCGATCGAGCACTGCCGCTTGATCTATGAATGGGGCGGACACTCGCTCGAACGTCGATGCGCTCGATCGCACGGCATTGTTATTAAGCGATAGCCCGACTTTCTTTCTTTCTCACGATTTTAAAGCCCAACGACGTAAATTCGCAATCGCCGTTAACGCCAACAGGAATTATTAACGTCGGCGAATTCACTCTCGTTCTTCGGCTATTGTTGTTATCGGCTCCATTATCATTATTATTATTACCGATATTATCTTTGATATTGCAAATCGTTTTCAATTGATTTTCAGGCTCATTGTGTTGTCTTCGAGGGAATTATGAAATTTTAATCCGAGCCCGTACATCTTAATGAAAAATCCACAAAAGTTAAAGGGAATAATTGACGTTACGGCTCCTCTCGTTTCTCTGCTTTTCTTATGGAATGAGGATATTCAGCAAAGATTCTGCGATCATGCGATCAAATTCTGAGATTCATGGGCGAGAGTGTGGGTAAATTGGAGTATTCGTTATTCGGACTATGCATGTACATTCATTATGAGTTTACGAGGGGAATATGCGGTTTTACTGCACGGACATTGATTAAATCAATCTCGCCACCGGCGCAGGTGCACAGGCACGTCGATAAGCGATCGTCTTCTGTCCGTTCCGATGCGCTCGAACATCTGAAATCATGATTGCGAGGTTTTTAGCGTGGCCCCATGCATTTGCTCGATCGCACTCGGAATATTTTCCGAAGCCGAGAATTAAATTAAACGATTCTCATAGTTTGGCATGCCGACGGTAATCAATCGGCAACGATGTCGATATTTTCTTAGTATCGAGACACAAACAGGATAATTCAATGGATATACTTCATTTCAGGGACTCTCAAGAACAAAGCATCCAATGCTCAAAGGTTGTCGTTGCATTCGTCAAAGCTCTTTTTATGATTTTGATTTGCTTTTATGGACGAGCTTAAGACATAGAGATTTAATTGATTTGGCTGCGTTATTAAACTTCAAATTTGATCATTGGGGCACGATGCAATTAATGAGGAAACGCCACTACTGCATAATCCGATTTTCCAATTGTTTCACCGTATAATTAATTCTCTCTCTCACCCTCTCTCTCCCTCTCTCTCCCTCTCTCTCTCTCTCTCTCCCCCCCTCTCTCTCTCTCTCTATATATATATATATATATATATATACATCTATCGACGTGGCAACGATCGTTACCGATCGCTTTCTCGAGTTTCTCTAGAGTTACGTGCGACAAAATTGCAAACCGATGTCGTCTATTAATTCGTCATTGTTCTGTTTTTTTTCCATTCTCATCTTTTGTTTCTAAAATGCAGCCGATCATGTAGTACAAATGTTGATAAAGTAAGCAAGGCTCTCTATAAAAATACTGACAGCTATTTGTGCGTTGTAGAAGGATGGTCGGTTCGAAAATTGACTCGAATCACTCATTCAGCTTGTGGCGTCCATTATCAAGTTAGTAAAAAATTCATTTCTTCTCAAATGTCTTCCCGAACAAATATCTCATGTGATTTACAGTCGCTTTAATTGCATTTAGATGGTTCTATCTAACGATTTGCTCTCACCTCTCTCTCTCTCTCTCTCTCTCTCTCTCTCTCTCTCTCTCTCTCTTCGTACTCCTGCACTTGTGCGCTCTCAAAAAACAAAGTTCTCAGCATTAATTCCTGACCTGAGCTTTTTAATATGTTCAATATAAAAGTTTCGAACTATTCAGTTAATTATTTTTGAAAATTTCAGCCTCGTAATGCAAATATGATTTGGCTCCATTGCTTTCTCATACTTATCGTGTCTAATTTATTTCAAAATTCTCTTACTTGTCTTTCTCGTGCTTTATTTATTCTCGATATCAACTATAAGTCTGCTTCCTTTAGCAACTGGATACTATTTGCCTGCTTGTACGAAACTTTGATGAGTGAAGAAAGTTGGCAAAAATGATCGAGAGATTAAATAAAGGATACGTTTATATGTCGATGTCAAATGAAAAAATATCGTTTTACAGCTGAGGTTCTTAAAAGATGTTTGAGACATTTGATATTTCCAGCAAGTTTATCAGTATTTATAAATTCTATATTATAGAATATCTCATTCAAAGTTTAAACGAAAATTCGATAGTTATGTTTTAAGTTCAGTATGGGTACTCGCGTAGGA